AAGCTCATGAAGAAGGGCCTCAGTATTTTATTAGGGGAGGAGAGGGTATGAGTAAATACCATATAGCATGTCTCCTTGTTTATGTGTATAGAGAGAGAAGACTGAACAGAAATGTGTTTTGTGTTCTGATGATACCCTCTTCAAGAGATTCGAACTCCTGTGTGCAAAGCAAAAAGGCATAGTGAACTATACCTCTCTTAATTCTAAAAAGAAATTTGGCTCTATTTTCCATATGCTAATAAATGGAAGTGAATGTATCTTTATTACTAGATTTTTTTTTTGGTTATGTTGTTTCTTCTATATTATATCTTATAGGGATTTAATGAATCCATCTTTGATTTTACATTGTGAGCTGGTTAGGGCAGCTGTAACAAAACGAACAATCTGTTGGCTTTGGATGTAGGGAATGTAATTTATTAGAACACTTCTCTTGTGTTTTGAACATATATTCTTAGTCACCAGCCATATGATGACTTATTCCAGATAGAACTGTGAGGTTTCAAAACATAGCCCACTCTCTCCCCAGCTGACAATCTAGGATAAAGATAGGCGGTGGGTAGATACAACCTTCTTTAGAAAACGAGATGTGTAGTGTGGTTGGAATGCTGGATATTTATCAAGATAGGATGCTTTCTTTGGTTTTACACTTGACTTAAAGTACACGTTCTTCTAGAATGCAAACATGTACTATTTATTTTCATCAAAAAAAGCGTTTATCTTTAGGATTTTTGGAAAAGGAGAAAATCTCACCAAGTAGATGTCTAAAATATCACAAAAGGGAACCTGATCTATTCTGACAATCTAAGGTGAGATTAGCTTTATCACATACTAGTTGTCCATTTTGCTGTGGATGTAAAACCAGTTGTTTTCTGGGAGTTCTTTATGTAGTTGAAGCCTGTTCTTATAGATCCCCTTCCCAGCCTTCCCTTCTGCAAGTTAAAACAACCATAGTTCTTCTTTACAAATGTTTTTGTACTGTGAGGTATTTTCCCAAGCATTCTGTCAAGGTGTGGTACCCAAAACTAGCCCCTCAGCCAGCAGGTTTATCAATTTTAAGTATGCAGCTGAATGTATTGTTCATCTTTCTTGCAAGAGTGTGGTGTTGCCAATTCATGTTCAGCATGTGATGCTCTATATAACAAAGTGACAAATATAGAATACTACAGTAATTTGGATCATTTGTTTAATACAAATACATTTTTTCACAACAATAAGCAGATATATTACTTTTGTTTCCCTTACCTCCTGTCTTTCAGTACACATTCACCCACAAAAACATACACTTTTTCTTTTGCAAAAGAGAGGGAGTTAAACAAGTAACACAAACTTGTAGTTCCAAATATTATACACAGTAAAATATTTTCATCATAGAGTAAGTTTCATTGCATTATTAGAAATTATAAATGGTTTGTTCTGGTGATGGGGAATTACTAGTTTCTTCTACACAACAAAAACAAACACTGCTTTCAGATACAGCAGCGTGTGAATGGCACAATTGGACTAGTTGAGAATCTTTGTAATGCTAATGATAGTCAAAAATGGTATGTTTATGCCAGTTTGAAATAAACTTCATAATGCTTGTAACTTAAAACAGGAAAAGAAATGTGCATGTTCACAGGTTAGGAGTACCTTGTTTAAAATTCCAGACCAGATCTGACACCAGATTACTTCTACCGACTTTCATTAAAACTTTGCTTGAACAAGAATGCAGGTTAAGCTCTTCTTGGTAATGGCAGCTCAGAGCAAGGTTCTGCCCTTGTGGGCTTAGCCGGGCTAAATTCCTCCGTCAGCGCGTTTGCCTGAGATGCACTGTGGCTACACAGGCAGTTTGATGTGGATCTTTATTTGATATGTCATTTTCATTAAAAAGTAGGTGTATCTTAAAAATTCCAGTATACTGTTTTTGCAGGATAGAATCCTGTGGTCATTAAATAAATATAGAAAATTGTGCTTTGTGTGGGAATGAAAAAACAGTGGTTGGTAAGCAGATGCCTAGTGCCTGTATTTGTGCACCTTCCTTATTCATGCAGACCTGTATCCAAGGCATGTTGGTGTGAATAGCTCCTTGCCCTCTCAGAGAGGTCCCTCCCTGCTTCAGAAACAAATTCCAGTCCTGCATTAAATCCCTGAAAGCTCTAGAGTATCCAGTGCACCTAAGAAGAGAAAGGGATGCACGGGCTAATACTGTAATGCTTTAAGAGGTTAAAGAATGCTTCAAGCCTGCTGTAATCCTTCTTGCTGCTGACTTGTCTCATTGTCTGTCTCAGCAGACACTCTCCCATTTTGCTCCTTTTCCTGCCTGTACACATTAATACTTCAAAGGGAAAGGAGGGGTTTCAACTGAAGTCTTTCTCCATTCTTATATTTAACTAACTGTAAGCTCAGTTGCACATGTAGTTGAGATGAGTGCCAAAATAGTGTTTTGAAGTTGAAGTTGTTAGTATAAAACTGTTGCTGACTCGTCAGTGTGTTTTTAAAAATGTACAGTGATCTTGGTGGATGCTATAAATCTGCTTTCAGAAGCCTCAGGAATTTTTTTTCTTTGAGTTGAATTTTATACTTGTTCAAGGAAAAAACAATGATGTGAATTAGTCTCCAGTAAACTGTCAAAATAGGGGGGATGAAAGTACTTTCAAGGGGGTAATGATGCTGCAGCAGGACAAAGAACAAGCTGGCTAAAGCAGCAGGGTTTCTGTAGAAAGCTTCAGAAAGCTCTTCGTTATCTTCCATAGTAAAGTTCCCTGTTAGTCAATTTTGCTATGATTCATCAGGTTTTATTGTAAACATCATTCCAAACATTTAGATGCAGCTAGTAATTTTAAGTGCCTAACTTCAGATATCATAAAGATTTACTTTTTTGCAAGGAGATTTACACTTTTTGAAAACCATGCCTTTGCACACTAGCTTAAACACGTGCACTTATGAGGCAGTCCGTGGTACTGTCATGGTTTTCTGAAGAGCTTGTGAAGTCTCCGCCACAATTATAAACAGAGAAAGTGTATCTTGTATGTGATTTCAAATGAGACGCTGCTACAATTTCGATTCACAATTGTATAACTGGAAAGTTATTTTGTGTGAAAAGTGCATGTCATTACGTGAATAACTTAAACATTAATCATCTCACCTGGAGTAACTTAAAGCAAATATTAATATGTATTTAGGGCCTGTTGAAGCACCAAGGTTTTGTGTCCTGTCTAGCCAGATGACAATCACATAGTCACAGCCAAATTACATGAGCAATTCCAATATAAAAGAACATAATGGTCTGATAAAAGACACATTTCTTGCTGATACTGCTACTTCCAGTATTCTCTGAGCCTTAAGCGAGTGAACATATTCACAGAGGAATACCTAACATACCAACTCCAATACACCTTAGGCTCAGCACCCTGGATATTTCCAAGAATGGGATTATTCTGTTATTTAATTGCAGATATTTGAGTGTGTAAAGAGGAAATTTACCATTAGAAACTGCAAGGCTTCTGTAGAAGCCCAGTTCACCTGTAATTGTGGCCGATTTCCTCCTTTGGATGAACCTGTGCTCTACTATCCTCTTTACTCTGGTTCTTTATTTGCTTGTTTGCTTTTCTTCCTTTACCTAAATACAAGATCAAAAAAGAACTTTTAACTTTTTTGTAAAATATACATTACGTTCAGGCCCCAGACTTGCCATGGCAGTACATTACTACTCCCAGTCAATACTTGCTGTTGTGTCCTGATGGTAAACACCACAGGTATGAGAAGTTAATCACAAAATTGGTTCTTAATATATAATTCACCCTGTTGGACACAGTATTACATCTACATTCATTTATCTATTGCACCCTTTAATGCTATTCACACTTCATTTTTATATGAGAATGCTCAAAACACGAAGTTAACAACTGAACTGTTGAATCTCTAACACCTCAAGTTTATCTGTACAACAGAGGGAAACCATTGATTTATTTTTTCAGTCAGGAAAACTAACTTTTCAGAACAAGGAGATAAAAACTAATGTTCTGTTAAGATACGTAGGTGTATTCTCTTGTGTCTACCTTTCCGTATCATGAATCTTAAAAAATAAAACCAAAAATGGCTTCCATCTTCCTTAAGTCATCCTTTTTCAGACCTTTGATAATATGCAATTTACTTTTGTGTGATTCTGCAGTAAAATGCATTTTTTCATTTACAGTTCTGCCTTAAAACTCTGTGTATTGAATTAATGTATAATTCACTCTTGCAAAGTAAAATGAACAGCATACTGCTCTTCTAAATCTGTATCTACACATTCTCTCCTTCCCATACTTATTTTGCTGACAGCTATACTTAAAAAAATATCTGTAGCTTATGGAGGCATGAGTTTATACTGGATGGAATTGCTTACTTTTCAAAAATTCAGGCATATTTAAAAACAATGCTACTTTTCAAAAGTTTCAAATATCCATAGTTAACACAGCTCCCCGTCCAGGCTCCACTGCTGTCACATGAATATGTGTTACCATATGAGGCTTAGAGAGTGAGTGCTGTGATACAGCTCTTTAATTCAGTTAATGCATATAACTTGATTGGTACCCTTCTGAAGTGTATCTTTAAGAAGATAAATAGCAAATACAACTTTTAGTAGTAAACAGCTGAAAGGTTTTTGTTTTCTGTAAACAAAATGGTATCAGGTCTGTTTCTACTTTCCCAGCCATCCAATTTAAAAAAAAAAAAACAAAACAAAACTCTTGTCACATTGGTTTGGCATTGTCTGTTAAACCTGTTCTCTATTGCACTTTCTACACTTCCACTTTCACTACACTTGCTGACTAGTTGAGAAACTACTTCACAAACGGTCACATTCCATACAGTAACAAATTGCTTTGCTGGATTCATTTTCCTTGTAGGGTTTTGTTTTTTTTGTTTTGTTTTTTTTTTAACTGAAAAAAAATGCACAGTCATTTCTACTCTCTTTTAGCATTTGTAGTGCAGAAAACACTACGCCTTACTCTGCAAGGAAGAAACAGTGCTGTCTCTTGTCAAACTGGCATGACCTCAGATGTCGTTTCTTCAGCTGCCAACTGAGAGTTTGTACCTGTCTGTGCTACTGGCACCACCACTGCGTCCTTGACGTCCGAGGTCTGAGTGCATGAAGAGTTCTTCTCCTCCAGTTTTTTGGTGGTATCTGGGCAGTTCTGAACAAAGATCACTCTGTTGTAGGCTTTCAGCCTGCGCCACAGCTGAACATAAACCTTACACTGCACGTACATGAAGACCAGGCCCCCTGTGAATCCAATGGCCACCACAACGAGTTTTGTCCAAAATGGCCATTCGAGGACACCTTTGAAATAAAACATTTGGATTTCTTACCATTGTTATACAATGCATATCAAGTACTGGGTATGAGTAAAATATTTTGAAAAGAAGCCACTTGCTAAGAATTGCCAGGTACGTACAGGCTTTTGGGGCAGTTGTGGGTCAAGCAGGAACAGCAGCTGTTTCTTATCCCATATGCCAGCCAAGAAACTACATCTGTCCCCCCCCGCTTCCCCCCAATAAGAAATAAGCATTTCAAATAAGAAATTCATGGCCACTGTCATGAAAGCAGCATAATAATTGATACAGTCAAAACCAAACCAAAACATTTTACTGTTCTTCAATAATGTCCCTGCATTCAGGAGCTTGCTTAAGCAAAAAAACAAGTACCAAAAGCGAGATAACTGGATACCTAGAAATATGGTGTACATCTTCAACAATGTCTGGTTTTTTTCATTATGCTCGAAGCATGACACTTTAAGGTACTTGGAATGCCCAACATTTACAATATTTCCTGGTCCTAGCTTCATCCTGAAGCCAGGGTACAGTAAAAAAAGCTAGTGGAAAGGGCTTTATCTCCTGCATCACCTGCCTTCGATGGCCTCTTTTTCCTGTTACTCTCTCTGTGCAACAGCCCTGAACACACCTGTATCAAAAAGTAGAATTTATATTCCTGTATAATAAAGGAAACAACTTTACAGTTTTTGGTGTATCTGATCTTACTTTTTTCATTGTATTGATCAAGCATGTTGATATTTACAGAAAATATACAGAATCACAAAATAGTTTGGGTTGGAAGGGACTTTTTTAAAGATCATCTAGTCCACCCGCCCTGCAGCGAGCTCCTAACACCAAAAAATTAGAGATAAGAGCAATTGAACATGGTTATGATATGAATAATGTTGAAATTATTTGCTTTGGCCTAAATGTGGTCTTAAGATTTTAACTGAATGTTGTCTTAAGAACAGCCTTCTCGTTAATTCATACCACTGCATTTGCTTTTTTTCAACCGTTCAGTAGCCTAACATAAAGGAACAGCTACCAGCCTTCCCATTGCACTTTGCCTCATCACATTTAAAAATTAAATGCTACACACAAGATTCAGACCTCTGTATCTGTGCTTAAGCTGTCAGTCTGAACAATCTGAATAGGTTTGTTGGTCATATATGGAAGGTCTTTGAGTAACGTATTGCTCACTGAGTGTAGTATTCAAGGTGCCGTGCAGATGCTGTATTCACGCGCTAGTGATGTATTACAACAGCTTGATGACATTTCTGAGCTTTACCCAAGTTTTACACAGGGAGGAAATTTTTGCCACGGGCAGGAAAGTAATCTGCATTCCTTTGGGAATTAGCAGAAAAGTTTCAGTGAGGAACCAGTCTTGACTCCTAGACCTGATAACCTGGACTCCTCAAAAGCAAGTCTTTACTTTTAGCCAGCTGTGTGAGTCTCACAAATCTAAGTATCCCCTTTACTGTTAAACATGTAGGAACTGGGCTTTTAATTAAGTAAACAAGTAGAGACCAAAAGAATATTAATTATTGCAAAAGCACACAAAATGTTTGCAGTAGCTGTAGTTTTCGCTCTTATGGTAACTGCTTTGTAGTACTTAGACATGGTAACAATGTATTAGCTGATGGTGTGTGCCAATTATTTTTTTTAATCTGCAGCAAAATGAAAGCATATAAAAAACATGTAAATCACTTTGTGTCTCCCTCACCACTATTACTCTGGTTAGTTGAACTTGCCAGGGACAAATCCTTTTATATTTGTTAAATTTGTTCACAAAATACTTGTCAGGCCTTTCTTCAGTCCCTCATTCCTGGGACAAAAAGAAATAACAAAGAATAGTTTGCTAAGGTGTCATATCCAGGGATGTGTTCCTTTTTTCCCCCTTTAATAACTGCTCTTAGAAATCACCATCTCCTTCTTGCTCTTAATTATGAAAACAGTATGCTTTGCATCTGACTAAGCTCCATCAGTGGGTAATGACATTTAGAACCAGCAAGTCACAGCTGGAGTGCTGAGCTCGGAAGAAAGCGGCTGAACAAACAGCTCACCTTCCCCCCAGAGTTTCTTCCACCTCTTAGCAGTAAAGATGCTGCTACTTCTTCCACAGTAATAACAAACCATTATTATTCAGGGCTTTTCGTTTTTCTCCTCCTCAAAATATGTGTATAAATTTTTTTCCTCCAGTGTTCAACTCTTTTTTTCCCAGCATTTCCCATTTAAACAGAGAGAAAAGCAAACTACACATATGTCTTCCCCCCCCAACACATGCGTGTGATTCTGTAGAAGAACTTTTTTTTTCCCCCAACAAGCAAATTTTGGGGCAAAAGTTCACTTCACAAACACTTATTTTTGCATGTTGTAAGTAGCTCCAAGGCATCTCTTTGTCCATTTTTTAGTGTGGCGACTCATCCACTACATTTGGCAAACTGATTTCTATACAAATCGTAAATACTTTTTGAGCCTACCAGGATTAATTGTGATTCTTATGCACTCTGCATAACAACAGAAATTCATGTTAGCTGTTTTGTTGTGTAAATCCAGCTAATCCACAGACATACCCTTCCCTTTTTTAATGAGTAGGGTGGTGTAGTTGTACTTATAAATAGAAGTTTGAAGCCATTCCTAGTCCTGTCCTCAGGGCCATTTTTCTGAGATGAAAAACAGGGTTACCCACTTAGAAAGAATGCAAAACAAGACTTTATGTTATGTTATATTCGTCTGTGACTTACTGAGGCTTCTTACGTATTTTCCCCTCATAGGCAAGAAAGACAAGCATCAGGATTATCGTCAAATATTTATCTAACTAGCAAGGCACAAAGCTTTGCCTGATTTGTTCTCCCTGATAACTTCAGAGTATAGCTCAAAGCTAGAGACCTTTGTCCCTCTACTGTCTAATGCTTAAAGTCAATTCGGATAAAATCTCAAAAGCTTCTTATCCTCTTCATCATCATGATCATATTTAAAGCTAAATTTAAGACTTAATAGACTTAGATTTGAAATGGGAAACATTAGTTCAGTTTGCTATATAGCTTCCACATACGGTACGTCTAGTCCGAAAAGAAACCTACTTACGTTAAACACACATTTTGTTACGCATGTCCAGCTGGGGTTTCATTATCTCCACAGATGGAGACTCCATGACCTCTCCGTTCTAGCGATTGACCATCCTCACAGTAAACACAACTGGAATAAGGACTTTCACAGCGAAATTCTGTTCGAAGGCATGCAGGAATGGCTTTCCGTGCTACTTGAGTCCCACATGAAGGACGAACACAACTGGAACATGGTCTTTTGGAAGTTCACATTAAGAAGCTTGTTGATGAAAGGGCTCTATTGTGTTTTACTTGAAGAGGTTCAAGTGGGTAATATAAATAAATTGCTGTTTTATGACCTGAACTTGCACTGAGCTGTTTCAATTTGACTTATCTTTTTGTCTGAGCTTTAGAAATATCTAGATAATAGGAGATTAACCTAAGAAGAACCGGGAGGCTGGTTAAGCTGTTGTAATGATTACACTAAGTAGAGGTCTCTCTGCAGGGGCATAGCATAAGCTTTTAACACTAATGCATTCATTAGATGTAAAGCATTTGATGTAGCCATGTATCAGTGAGCTGTTACTTAAGAACAGAATGTGACTGGTTACATAGCTGCATCTCACATCCATCCATTGCATTATCAACAAGATTGAAGAAGATAAAAAAAATACTTACCATTATCATTGCCTTGTTTAATTTCCTCAGCAGTTCTATCGATTAAAACATACAATGACCAAACAACACAGGTAATTGCAATTACGTGGAATGTGACTGAACAGACTATTTTCCTCCTCTCGCTTGTTGTCATCTGTAGTTTCTCCCACTGTAATTAAAAAGTAATAAAAAAAAAATCAGACTTGTAAAATTTTACATTAAACTGATGGGTCTTTCTGGCTTTATCAAAAAAGCAAGCAGTAATCAAAATAACGAATCCTTTTATTTTGATAATACACATTACAGTAGTATGTGCATTGTCACTTTAAAATTCATAATTGCTCTCATTTTCAGAGATTCAGAGGAATGAAGAGTTCTAGTCTGTTTCTGTCTGCTTGCAAATGACACCTAATTTCATTGCGGAACAGCCATAACACATTAATAGACAGGTAAAAAGCTGAACATTTATTTTAACTTTACCTAATGCACACTTCTGGTGATGAGAAAAGAAAAAAACCCAGACATTAGCTTATAATACTTAAACTATTCTCATCTATTCTCAGTTGCTTAAAATTAGAGGAACACAGTTGTGGAACAGACTTCCCTTAAAATAAAAGCAGCAGAAATGCAACTGCATTGAGGATTAAATTCAATAAACTTGAAAAGATGATTACATGGAAATGATAGTACATGATAGCAGTCAAATAGCCTCAGTAACGCTAGAAGGATCTTTCAGGCATATGCTTGTGAATTACGGCACTAAATCCATCATATGTTTGTGAATTATGGCACTAAGTCCTAGCTTGTGTTAAGGCTATTTTAAGATGAAATAGGCCATTCTCTGCATTGGAACAACGCAACTCCTGAGGTGGGGTTTTTTTTTTTTAATCTTGCCTGTGAAGGTATAATTTTTTTTCAGCACTTATTTAAAATAAAACCCTTCTCTACTAAAATGCTTGTAGATGAAAGAATATGACATTTAAAAGCAAAATGCCCCAATTCCGATGAATAATCTCAGAGTCGGTCGCTAGCGTCTGAGGAATGAAGCGAGGACAAACCACAGCACGAGAGTGCCACCTCTCCGCAGTCCTGCTCCTGCAAGACTGAACTGCGGTTCAAAATCCAAGCCATAGCACTGACCACCCGGACAGAAAAGCTGTTCCTCTGCATACATGGACCTTTGGTCTACACAGGCTGCGGCTCCTAATAGTCTCATGGTGCTAAGGCTGGATCAAAACACCTGACCAACTTCGAAGGTATGCGTTTGACTTTGTTTTTCTGGGGTTTTTTTTTTGGGTTTTTTTGGGTTTTTTTTGTTTTTTTTTTTTGGTTTTTTTTTTTGTTTGTTTTTTTGTTTTTTGTTTTTTGTTTGTTGTTGTTGTGGGTTTTTTTTGTTTTGGGGAAATACCAAACTGCCAAAAATTGCTTATGGCTAGTGTTGGAGATGGTGTCCAACTAGATGCTTAGACTTTAACCTGAACCAATATGGCCATTCTTCTATTCTGAACACTATTTGCTGCCTGGTCACGTTTCGAAGGAGCGCAACTGTGGTGAAAGCTGAGGAATGTCAATGCAATGTCACCCAGGGCTAGCTTCTTCCTGCCATTTGTTTTAGGGCAGCACATACTGGTGGTCCAAACAAATTTCATTTTTTAATGGCAATTAAAGCTTGCACATTTCAGAGCTGTTGCCTCAAAATCCCTCTGGAGCATTTTCTAGCCCTTGCCAGAATTTTGCAAACACAGGCTTAAATAACTCTTCAGAATAACTGAAAAATTTCCTGAGCAATATAAAAAGAGACAGAGTTAGCAGTTTATTTAGCAAATGATACATCATTTGTGTTTCTGAGACATGTACTTAGGAGGGAAAAGTAAGCTTGCTGGAAGGTGTATGGCAGTCATGGGAGGCGTTAAAATAAAGTAATAAAACAAAAAACTAGAAACTTATGTTCATTGTACTTCACGTAGGTAGTATGCAGCGTTCAGACCAGATAGACTGGGGCATTATCATTACAGTCTTATGTCATTACAGTCACCAGGTTACACAGCATTTGACCTGGAGACTTTCATCCTTTTTGCAGCGGAAATTCGGTTCAAGCCTTGCGACAGGCTTGCTTTCCAAAGAGGAAGTTGTCTGTGCCCAGGCGGAAAAAGATTTTACCTTAACCCTTCGCTTCGCTTTGGAAGCTTGTGGGAGATCGATGTTGAACATAAAGATGAAGGAATTGTTTTCCTAAACAGAAGTTTTCTGTCATCTCACCTCTGCTGATAGACTTCTTGGTCTACTGGAGGGAAAATTTGTGCTGAACTTTCAGTGTCGTGTGTACCTGTAGTCTCATTATAGCCATTTTATTCTCCATCACATACACAAAAGCCTTAGAGTGTTGGTCGGAACGCCCCCTCAAATAAAGCTTTTCCGCATGGAACGTTAAAGTCAAAGGAGGAGGATGCTGGTCTCATTACTCTAAACGTAAACATTTTGTAGGTAGGAAGACGACGACAAACACAAGCGAGCGCCAGGCAGGATAGGTAAGTAAAGGAACGGCCTCACAGACGTTTGCAGAGATTTGCGAGAGGCGCGTACCAGGAGAGGGAGCCAGCAGCCATGGGCTAACACGGGCCTTCAGTGCTAGCACCCCGTGATCAAATCCAGCCAGAAAGCATGCCGAGGCCTGCCGGACTCTGCTTCCTCTCTCTGGGCCCTTTCTTCTCCCACAAGAAGAAGTGTCTACTCCATCCACGCGTGCGGTACCACACCAGAAATAAGCTGGCTGGCAGGAGACTGGGAGAGGCCACCAGGGCACGGGTGGTTATGGAACCGGAAGACCGCGCAGAGCACCTCGTACTCCCGGCTGGGATACAAGAAAGGAAGAAGACTAAGGAGAGGCTCCCGCCCGCACGGACGGACGCGGGGGGATCGGAGCGCTTGGGAGCGTTTTACAGCTCTTAATGTCCCCCAACGCGGTGCTTCTGTTTTGCCGAGCCCGAACTGCAGGCCCAGGTCTCTACTCCAGCCCTGGCGGGCTGAGCCGAGAGAGGGACATTCAATTAAACTTTGTGCTCTGCTCCTGGTGATCCCTGTGGTAGCTGAGGCAATTTTCTTGTCCTACTCGGGTATTTCAGTTTGGCGGAACAGAGGGTACTATGTGACTACTGTCGCTCTCTACTAGACAAGTGATGTTAGTAGGTAAGCCAGCAATTTAAGTTGCCCTGGAGCAGAACAGTGCTACCGCTATTTTAGGATTTTTGCAATAGGCTTAAATCTAAAATTTAACTGTTACTGTTAGCACAGACTTGCTTGGGTAAAAGGAGAGTTATGTGAAGAAAAGACTGCTTGCAAGTCCATAGCAAAGGCTATGAGACAACAATGTATTGAGCAGCGAAAGCATCAGCCGCTTCCACTTGTGCTTTGTAGTTCAGGACTCGATACAGCCTGAAGTTGGGTGGGTAAGTTCGGCAGCTGCTACCATGCCACACAGTGCATTTATGCCTGCTTAACCGCTGACAGATTCACCCCGCTGTATTTTTTGAAGCTTCTGCAATTCACATGGCTCTCTTTATTTAGTACATGAGGGCAAGATAAAAATAAATCGTATCACGTTTTATCTTCTTCATCAGTGATCTGGAAAACATACAACCATCAGGTTGATGACACTGTGACATGCCATGGATAGAATATCAGATGCCACCAAGAACAGGAAAATAACACAAAGGTAAGTGCCCAGATGCAATTTTCCTTGGAAACTCCTATGTTAATACTCTTCAGGTGCTCTAGGGACTGGAAGGAGAGAAAGAAATGGAAGACTGTAACAGCCAGAGGAGACATTTATAACTGGGTCGCTAAATTGCTAGACAAACACTGTAGTTTTTGCCCAGCCTCCTCTGAAGCACCCCTTCGCTGTCGTACATCCGATTGTCACCACCCGCAGATTCCTGAATTCTGGCAGCTATACAAGCACAGACTGGAAATCATCACAGATGCAGATGGTTTAATGTCCTGCAAATGCAAGTAATCGTGTGAATATCATCATGCTCCACAGAACAGGTGTGCTAAAACACTTCGGAACATCTAACAACCACAAGACCTTTCACACAAGTCACCAAACAAATCCACAGTACAACAATATGTATCCCCAGAAGAAAGCCTGAAATATCCCCAAACCCTTTTTATTTTCCGAATAAGCTTTCTGAACATTACACTTGTACTGTGCTCTGCAAACCACTGGAGGGTGGTAGGAGACCGTCTCCCTGCTTCAGAGGTTCCTACCAGAAGCCAGAATGAACTAAATATCAAAGAAGCCAGGTTGTAAATGCGGTGAGAAACACTCCTCCCACCCCAACTACTACTTACAGCTGCTACTAAAAGTATGTAATAATCTGTGATAGTGGCAGCTGTAAAACTGCACCCTGTTCTAGGTTTCTGCCTCGTGTTTTGGTTTTGTTTCTTAAAGACTATCTCGCTCTGAAACTCAAAGGGAACGGTTACCGATTTCATAACCACTCTTCCAATTATAAAATGTAGTCATGAGTCTTATGGGGAAAGAAGAAAAAAAAAAAAAAGAAGAAAAAATTGAATAGCCTGCTCACAGGGAACTTCTTAATCATATGTAGCCAACCACTTCCCTTTCCTGTATCATAGTCTGAGAAAATCCCTGATATTTATTTTGAAGTACCAAAATTCGCCTCCCTGCATGTCACTTCTAATAAAAGCTTGGCTAATCAATATGCAACAAATAAATATGGACATTTTTTAATATCCTCCGAAAATGTTAGTGGAATCTGGGAATGCTGCTTCATAGCCTAGAGATCCCAATACAGACTCTCTTCTTATAGGCAGAATTAAATCTGGCCCAGTGCAGAACCAAAAGCTTCACACTGCTCACACAAAAGCTGTTACCACACCAGGGAACCGCACGGTGCAAACTTTGCTGCTGATATTCCTTTTCCCCACCTTCAGATTGCAGGCTTACTGCCCGCCTGCCCCATGCCCATTTCGTGTCCGCATGTTGCCTCCCGCTAATGGTAATTTTCTGTCACTTTGGCCACAAAATTTTGTCTACACAGATTTCCTGAAGCAACTCCGTATCTACTGCAGGTTTGCAGATTCACACCTCTACCAAAGAAGGTCTCTCTCCTGCAGGGGCTCATCACTGAGGGTGCCAAAAGGAAA